GGGCGTAATCCTCTGTCGACATGTACGCTGGGCGTACATCTAGGTACGTTGGGCGTACCGGGTGGATAGGGCCGGATGAGTCACGAGTTTGGTATTATCCGATTTTATAATTAAATAAATATATTTTAATTATTTAAAAACTTCATAAATTCATATCTTCCTCATACGAACTCCGTTTTCGACGTTCTTTATATCCACGCGTAGGTGAGACTATGCTCTATAACTTTCATTTAGACTCTGTCGGCTGATTTCGACTTTATTTTTATTATATTATTTTTAGTAGGCTGGGACAGGAAAACTCCGTTAGAATTTTATAACTTCTTCATCCGACGTCCGTTTTCGTCTGTCTTTTTACCGTTGCACTACTAATAACGAGATCTTCGATTCTCGTTTAGATTGCTTCGACCAAAAATCACTCGATCTCAAATTCAAGTTTCGGGCTGCAAACTGCTGAGCTGAAACTTCGAAAAATCATAACTTCCTCATACGAAATCAGATTTGGACCTTCTTTTTATGCACGCTCACGGTTTAACGAACTCTACGACTTTCGTTTAGATCACTAAGACTAAATATTGGTCTAACGTAAATTCACTATTTACGTCGCACTGTGTCGTGCTGGTTCTGTCGCGAAACTTCGACAGGTCATAACTTCTTCGTTATAACTCGGATTTCGACATTCTTTATATATTCGGAAACCTTGCCATGACCACTACAACTTAGTTAAGACTATTCATTCTAAATAATCTTTTATCAAAAAGTCATTTTTGACGCTTATCGTCTCTAAATTGACTAGCCCGGATGTACGGGCGTTACACTTTTTTTCGTGTTTGCACCGGACCTAAGATAACTTAGGATCGGCCCTGAAGGGTAACAATAGTCAAGAAACTAAAATAATAATACGAAACATGAACCGGTCTAGGGTTTGGTAGGCCAAAATGTATTAGTCGATCACTCCTTTTCATGACTCGTGACCAGAAGGTATATGTTTTACTAATAATATCAAAGTCGTGAGAATCGACAACAAAATGATAACATGTACAAAAGGGTAAAAAAAGAAAGACAAGTTATTTCAGTTGTCTAATTTCAACTCATACATACACACGAAACCCAATCTGACTTAGAGTTATGTATAACTCAAATTAAGATATTTATTGTATGATTTGAAACAAAACAAAACCTATAAAATTGTTGAAGCATGAAAGAAATATGACCATTTAGAAATTATATTTAATTATATTTATATACAACCTATACATAGAGACCATCAAGAAGATAATGTGATTAATAATAAATGTTCAGTTTATCATGTCATTCAAAATAATTAAAATCTTTTAATGTAAAAATTATTATTTCATCGATATTAACAATGAAAATCCTTCTTAAAAGCATATATTTAAAATTATTATAACTACATATTTATATTATTTTGCATAACATACGAATATAGATGTCAACAGGGTCAAATGGGATTGGGGTTGTATCCTCCGCCTTCACCCCTGAAATTTTCGCGTTTTCCCACCCCCAAAATCTCTAGCTTCCCCATCCCCACCACCTCCCATGAATCTCGTCCTCAACTGATTTCGGAATGTCTTTTTTTGGGCTAAAAAAGTTTTTTTTGGAGTAAAATAAACTATTTTTTGAGTAAAAAATAGTTATTTATAAAATAGTTTTACATTTTAAAAATAAAAATGTTATGACATCTCACAAAAACTTAAAACATGATATGTTGTTTAGTTTTTGACAGCTCAAAATCATGTTATTATTTATTATATTTATATAATATACGGGACCCTCATAGGGATTCGGGACGGGACTGCTCAACATCGCCCCACCCCCAAAATTAAAATTAGGGTTAACCTTACCACTGCACATGCACATGCTCATACCCCCGCCTCTAATTTTTTTCAAACAAATATCCCCCATATATATAGGGGTGGCAAATTCTTGATACGGCCTGCGGCACGACACAAAAGTAAACGGGTTTGGGTTGAGAATTTTGACCCGTCAATCTGTCAAATAATCGGGTTAGTGAATGGGTTCACAGGTTAACCCACTAACACGTATAATTTTTTTATTTTTGAAATTGTATTACCATTTTAAAGAAAGCTCACCGGATATGGTTTACCATTTGGTGGTTCATTGTATAATATATTAAATTTAAGGTATGTGACTACGCCTATTAGTCCATACGCATTGCTTGCCCTAAATCAACCAACCATCGCAATTACACAAATAATATATGGGTTCATGGGTCAACCCACCATCCCGCCAACACATGAACCCAAATCTGACCCATGACCTCGCAAACTCATATAATTAAACGGGTTAGACAAGTTATGTTCGTGTTGATGTTTCCAACCCACGATACGAATAATTATACGGGTTGGTGCATTCTGACATGCCAATCCGAACTCGATACGATTGACACCCCTACCTACGGGGTCCTATAAAACTTTTTAACATCCCTATATGCGAACATTGATGATTGATCTATTAATTGTAGTTTAATCCGGTCCATTTTTATAAGTTTGGACCATAGGTAACAAAATGAATGTTGTTATATAAAAAGTGCAGGTCAGAAATTGTCTAGGGACTAGTCTCGTAACTTGGTTGAATGTTAAGTATAAATATAAGGACTGTGAGAATCAAACAATGTTGCGTGTTGCTCGTGGCCACTGGTAGCCGGAGCTGCCTAACGGAATATCAAAACTCATTGAAACCGTCAGAAACTCAGAGAAGCGAATCGATGGATTCGTCGGAGAAGAGGTGCCTGTATGAAGTCCTTAGTGTCCACCGCGACTGTACCGCCGACGAGATCCGATCGGCGTACAGAAAGCTCGCCCTCCAGCGTCACCCGGACAAACTCGTCAAGTCCGGCGTCTCTGAATCCGAAGCGACCGCCTCTTTTCAGGAGCTTGTCAACGCTTACGAAGTTCTCTCAGACGCGAAAGAGCGTGCGTGGTACGATTCTCACCGTTCTCAAATCCTGTTCTCCAGTTCAAATTCTAATAATTCATCCCCCGCAATCGTACCTGATCTCTTCGGATTCTTCTCAAATTCTGTTTTCTCCGGCTATTCTGATAAAGGCACTGGGTTTTATAAGGTTTATAGCGATGTGTTTGATAAAATCTACCGAAATGAATTGAATTTTGCGAAGAAGTTAGGGCTAGGAGATGTGGTGAAAGAGGCGCCTTTGATGGGCAATTTGGATAGTCCGTATGCACAGGTGAATGCGTTTTACGGATATTGGTTAGGCTTTGTAACGATGATGGATTTTGTTTGGGCTGATCAGTACGATGCCATGGCTGGACCGAATAGGAAGTCCAGGAGGTTGATGGAGGAGGAGAACAAGAAGACCAGGAAGAAGGCAAGGAGAGAGTACAATGACACAGTCAGAGGCTTAGCAGAGTTTGTGAAAAAGAGGGACAAGAGAGTGATTGATATGCAGGTGAAGAGGAATGAGGAGATAGAGAGGAAGAAAGAGGAAGAGAGGGTGAAGAAGAAGGAGATGGAGAGGGAAAAGGCTGAACGAGCAAGGGCCTATGAGGAGCCTGAATGGGCAAAGGTGGAGGGTGATGAGATCAGTGAGTATGAGGAGGAAATTGAGAAGAAGAATGAGCTGTATTGTGTGGCTTGTGGGAAGAAGTTTAAAAGTGATAAACAATGGAAGAATCATGAGCGATCTAAGAAGCATAAGAAAAAGATTGCAGCTTTGAGAGAAGTATTTGGAGATGAAGATAGAGAAAACAAGTATACTGAGGAGGTCGCAAGTGATAAAGATGAGTTTGTATCAGCTGATGAGGTCCATGAAGAGGTTGACAACCTCAAGAATCCATTTGCAGGTGGCTATGAAAATAAAGATTACGATCAAGAAAGTGAATTGACTGAGGATGAAGAACATGTTGATGTTGATAATGGTGGAAAAGGAAGGAAGCCAGTGGCTCCTTCTAAGAAAGCTTATATTGAGGTTGAAGATGAAGAGGTAGACATGATGCAGTATAATAATAAGAAGAGTAGAAGAAAGAGGGGAAATCAGAAAGAAAAAAATAGAACAGCTGAAGAAGAAGAAAAGCACCAAAATAATGGTAATGATGATCATGATCATGATCAGCCATCATCATCATCTCAGCTTCATTCAGAAAATGTGGACAAAGATGATAAAGGTGATAATGTCCCTTCTCAAAGTATTAATGTCTCAAAACAAGCTCCAGCAAAAAAGGTTGCCAATAAAAAGGAGACAGCTGCCAAATCAAAAAATGCATCTAAAGGAAAAAAACAGAAGGTGGTATCACTCTAGACCATGTTACTTACCAAAAAAATATTTTTGTTGAATAAATTGGTAAAAAGTTAAATATAGTTGCATGAATATGTATTTTACCACTATTTTAATCATTTCTTTTACACCAGGGAACATCAAAAAGTTCTAGCCTTACATGTGACACTTGTGGAGAAGATTTTGAATCAAGGTATTTACACCATTCGCCCTTCAAAAAGTTCTAGTGTTACATGTTTTCTTATATTTTAGATCTTAATGGGTTAAGGTTCTTTTTTGATAATCGTCTGACAGGAATAAGTTGCACAAACATTTGAGTGACTGGGGTCATGCTACACTCAAATCTCGATGAGCTTTTTTTATTCACTTCAAGGAGATAGTGTGTCACCTACCAGAATCCTTGGATTGACTGGTATCAATTTTGTTTTCACATTATACTTATGTAATCAGACACGTTAACATACATACATTACACACATGAAACTCATAGGCAGATCAAAAGCTAGGTGAAGCAATCACCGTGACTCCATCAGCAACATTTCTCGTACAAATTAGAAACAATAAATTTAAAAACAAACTCTTAACTATTAATAAAATACTAAACTAAATCTTACGTACTCTCTACCTAAATTCGGGATTAAACTAGACACCATGACACCACCAGAAAAGTAACACAAAACTCCATGATTGTCTGTCTAATATTTTCCATAAATAGAATAATAGTAGTATCACGAACATGCAGTACAGACTTGTACACCACCACCAATCTTTTTTCATCAACCCCAAGTAAGCATAAAAGCTCCCACGCCTCCAATAATAGCCAAGAAACCAAAAATGTTGTTTTCTTGACGTCCACCGTGGCTGACATCTGTGTCCATGCTGGACGCAGATGGGCCCAACCCTCCTCCCATTCCGCCACCTAACACGCCAGATGGGTTGTTTCCGTATGGTGAAGTGGAGGTGGAACCCGGTGATTTTGTGTTGGTTGTTGATCCAGTTGTACCACTACACATTGATACAACACTGTTAAAATTATATGTTGTATTGTATTTATATGGTTGAGTTCAAAACAAATCAAATTATATGAGCAAAATAAATCCATGCTTTATAAATTTTCTTCATAATTGATCTATTTTGTCACATGTTGATCTATTTTGTCACATGTTCACTAAAAAAATCGCAAACAAATCCATGCTTTATAAATTTTCTTCATAATTTCACAAAATAATAGGCGTGTTTTAGGCAGAACAGTAAGAAAATCAATATTTGCAAATTAAGTAATTTTATAAAATTTGCATTGCAAAATAAATAACTTTTTTTTTTTGTGAAACGGCAAAATAACTCTTCTGTGATATTAAAATAATAATAATAATAAAAAATAAATAAATAAATAAATCGTGACGTTATATTAAATTAAAATGAAGGTGTTTGTACTTTATATTTCTTTTAAAAAAATGACACACATCTCAAATAGGAAATCTGGCCCTGATCTAACGGCTAGTATTTATTGTAAGTAGTGTATAGCAGCATGTCATGTGACATGATGTGTCCAAAAGGGACAAATTTATTGGGCAGAGCCTCGTTAACCCTCTCACAGTCCTCAGTCGTTTACCACTATTTGACCGTACGATAAATCTATACAAATCGTGTGCTTGTGGGGGACTACTAGATATTTTAACCTAAAACACTATTTAAAGTTTTTTTGTTGTTATTTATTTCTAAACAAATTAAACATCACTTTTAAATGTTTTAGATTTTACACGGTATTGAAAAGAAAATCGAAAATATTCATCAAGACATACCTGGCAGAAGTAGGAAAAGTACATCCATTGGAACCTATTAAAAAAAACAACAAAACAAGAATTAGTGTCTCAAAAGTTAATTCATGATGCTTATCAATAATGGTATCAAATAATCAGAATTCAATATTCAAGTTGTAAAAATGAGTGGTTGTGGAATATGATGTTTGAATGTTTTTTTTTTTCTATTTGAAGTTGTAATAATTAAACAATCAAGTATTTGATAAATTCTGACCATCAAAGATAAATTAAAAAACTTAATTGTATGAAAATGATCAGAAATCAAATAAAAAGAAATGGCAAGTACAGTTTTAATCTATTCAGATAATACAAAAGTATGTATCCGAATTACAAAACATGTAAATTTGATTATGACGTCTCTATATTATAGTGATCAAATAATGATGATAGAAATAAAATCAAAAGTTCCTAAAACATAAAAATGATGATAGGAACATGTGTGTTTGGATGTGATGATAAGAGGAGAGAGAGAGAGACTAACTTGGATCGGCGGTGACCACCATAGCTGCACCGGAGAAATCACATGAACCAGGGGCCTGATTTTTGTTTTGGAAATAGCTGTTAACCGCATAGTTACAGTGGTCCATCACCGTGTCCGGATTGAAACATTTGCCACCATCATGAGTTTGAGTGCAGTCTGCTCCATTTCCACATGCGTAGTCTATCGCTTGCTGAAGCACCTTATCTTGTCCACCTTTCTTACACACACACCAGTTTCCACCTATTCAAACATTCACAAATTAGTAATCAGTAATCACAAACTTAGTTATATCGACACAAACATTCTATGTGTAATGTGTATATATTCAAACATTCTCGATAAATGTACGAGATCCATTGAAATTTACAACTTACGACTTTACTCCAAATATACATATTTAGATCTCTACAGACACATGTATGTGTATGCATCGATAACTGTAATTTCGAAAAATGTACGAGAACCATCGAAATCCACAACTAACTCAACTTATTGTTCTGATTTCATTCTAACACGGTTTTAGTAATTCAGTAGACAGTAGTTACGAGTCGGATCCAAACGGAGCAAGTTATAACAAAAATGTAAGGGAACAAGTGGAGATAACTGAATATTTTGGGGGAAAGGAGAGAAAAGGGAGAAAAAAAAGGGAATATGCTTACTTGAATGAGCAGCCATAGATAATATGAGCATAGACACAACCAAAATAGCCATTGATGAATGATGACCAGCAGAACCAGAAGCTTTAGCTACTTGGAGAAGACGGAGAGAGAGAGAGAGAGAGAGAGTGTGTGTGTGTGTGTGTGATTAAACGGGTTTTATTTGAGTTATTGAGACCATAAAAAGTCGGGGTAAATTGGTGAGCTCTTTTTTCGAAGTATTCTGGTTGTTGTGTATTGTATTTAATAAATACCTTAAAACAACGATCATACTTAAGGCTGGACGACCGGACGGACTCGGACTCTCTTGGACGACCGGATCGGATCGGACGGAACTGAATTGGACAGGATAGGACGGACCATAACATATTTTTTTGTGTATCATTTAGTAGAATATGTTAAACACAAAAAATTATTGTTACCAAAAAATATTAAAAATTACCGTATTTTCCTTATATTAAATAACACAACACATTATTTTGAAACTAATAAAATTTGACGATTTTTGGAATTCGATATGAAAAGTTTAATTGGAATGATGGTTTGTTGTATATAGGAATCTACAATTTGAAGAATTGATCCGATTTTGTTAAAGTTAAGTGTTTCGTGGATTATGTTTTTGAAATCATCTTATTATCGGTCTAAATTTAGTTTCGATGATTGCTTTGAAACACCAATGTTTGATGATTAACTTAAAATAATGTTCCTATTGTAACATCCTGACTCTCAGGTATGAAATTTAAGGGTTTTTATGCATTTTATAAGACCTACTCGACGAGTTGGAGCCCCAACTCGTCGTGTAGAGACCAAGATGGTCGCGTAATTTACAAAGCCTACTCGACGAGTTGGAAGACCCAACTCGACGAGTTGGCACTAGATTATGAAAACCCTAATTTTTAGGGTTTGCACCCTATATAATCTCCTTAAGTCACAGAGGCTGACCGCTTATCAGCCTCCAAACCCTAATATTGATAGTGCAAACCCTAATCTCCATTTTTCCTTCCATATTATGAGCAAGAGGTGGGGATTTAGCAAGCATCTTCGTTTTGGAACTGAGGTGGACTATTGTGACTATTCAAAACCCGATTTTTATGTACATGTATATCTAGATCTTGGATTTTGTCCCTTTTTCCCTCCTTATTCTTAGATGTGCATGCATGGAGATTCATAAAGCTTGCAACTTTATGAATCTCCAAAGCAAGGGAGCCTCATAGTGGGTTAGATTTGACTTTTGATCAAGTTTGGTGCCATGCATGGATGTTAGGGCTTAATTCTTCTTTTTAGCCCATTTTGCCTTCAAGACATGCATTGGAAATGCATGTCTATAAAGCTTCAATCTTTGGGACGTCCTTGAGGTTAGAACTGATGGGTTTTGAGCAAAAGATCATCCTATGTGCACATGCACAACCCTAAAGCTTTGGATCTAGGTTTCTCTATTGTACATGCAATTCGTCCAAAGCTTGCAAACCCTAATCTAGCATACTATAAAAACGAGATCTATAATAAAACAAGTTTAGATGATACCTTTCAATAGTTTTAAGAATCTTCTATCTTCAAGAGCTTAGTATCATAAGTGTAATACCTCTAATGGCTTACAAACACCAAAGCAAGAAGATGATCTAGAAGAGAGGAAGGAGGAGGCACAATTTCGGCTATAGTAACTCTAGGGTTTCTCAAGTGGCCGAAATCTATAGCCCTAGGGGTCCTTAAATAGCTGAGTTGCTAGGGTTTCAGTCAAAACCCTAATTGGATGACTTAGGCCCTAAGCAGCTTCAAGAACCTTCTGGAATAGGGCCCCTTGGACGAAATTAGAGTGGGCTTCCACTCTAGATTTCGTCCCCCTTATATTCATAAGGATTCACAGTGTAACACCTGATTCCTGGTACGTATTTAAATTCAAGAACTTCATGTATTTCCTCTGGGACTCAACGAGTTGGTGGCCCAACTCGTCGAGTAGAGTCGTGATTCGCGGGAAGTCTAAGTGGCCTACTCGACGAGTCGGGAGACCGACTCGGCGAGTAGGTGCTGTTTGAGTGAAACCGTAAATTTGAAGGTTTGCACCCTATTTAAACAACTTATCTCAGCCTCCATCGTCCCTGTTACTCCCAGAAAGCATTATCTCGAAACCCTAGCCGTTATTAGTGTGTTTTTTTAGCCTTGAGGTGTTACTTTGGGTGTTTGAAGCTTGAAAATAAGGAGGAGGCTTGTGAGATCAAGGGGGAATCAGGAAGATCCAGAGCTTTGGGCACATTTCCAGCTTATTGGAGGTATAAAGTTGAACCTTATCTATTCTTTGTATAGATCTTGATTTGGTCCATTTTCCTCCATCTTCTAAGCCCTAGTGAGGATGTATTCGGGATTTAGTGTAAGGAATGAGTTTGTGCTTCAGATCTAGGGCTATTGAGGGTTTTTATGGCATAAAGGTGCCCACCTTGTTGCCATAAACACCCCATGCATCTTGTAGACCACCTTTTATGGCTTTTGAGCCAAGGACCCCATGCATGCGCACCAAGTTTGGAACTTTACGTGTAAAATGGACATTAGGAGGCCAGATCTATGATTTTGGTGTGTTAAGACCCATTTAAATCGATTGTATAGTAATGGTCAAAGATGGACTCAGCGAGTCGTTATTGGGACTCGGCAAGCCAGGGTGTAATGACCACCAAATCCTTCTGTCGATGGACCAGATGATAGTGTGGAAGGTCCCTCAAATGTTTAGGCCCTTAAGGGACCTGGGAATCATGGGACTCGACGAGTGGTTGAGCAAACTCGGCGAGTCCAAGGCAATCTCCCAACCTTTGAAGACGGACTCGACGAGTTGTTCGTACAACTCGGCGAGTCACAGACTTGTCACACTTATATGATGAAGATGGACTCGACGAGTTCAAGGACGAACTCGGCGAGCCATATGAAGATGGTCACGATGTTATGATTGAAAGAGAACTCGTCGAGTTCTTGCTAGACTCGACGAGTAGAGTCGAGGTTGGGAACAGATGAAAGAGTAGGGACTCGACGAGTTGGTGAACCAACTCGGCGAGTCAGGTCAACTGGGTGTTGACTTTGACTAGGATGTTGACTTTAGCCATTTTACCCTAAGAGTAATTATCAGTTTTGACTAAGTACCTTTATTGGAATTTATATCCGGAGAGTCGTCGGAGCAGCAGACAGAGATTTCTCACCCAGTTTTTCAGCAGTCAACCATACGAGGTGAGTTTCCTTCCAGTAGGAACGGGTCTACGGCCACAATGCCGGCCCGTTTAAGTTGTAGAGTATGTCGGGGTGAGCCCGATGCAGTTTATATGTTCCGGACCTCGGGCCGATGTCGGGGCGGTCCCGAGAAGTAGTTATGTATGTCTGATGTCTTTGTGATTCATGCATGTTTATGTGTTATGTGTTATGTGTTCCGGGGTAAGCCCGATGCTCGAGAAATCCCGATGTATGCTAGTTTATATGTTATGATTATGTGTTCCGGGCTTCGGTCCGATGTCGGGGCAATCCCGATGCAAATTATATGTTTATGATATATGTTATGTTGTGTATGTGCCGGGGTAAGCCCGATGTCGGGGTGAGCCCGATGCCCGATACATGTTTTATGATTTTATACTATGGCGATGATATTTATGTTTGTTAAATGATTTTGAAAATGAAATTTTTGGCTAGTATTTTTGGGATGTTTCACACAACCCAAAATCAATTATCTTATAATTGACAGTTCCAGTGTGACATCCCCATTTTTCACGGCCAGAAAAGACCGATTTTTGTTTATGCTTTATAAAAATCAGAGTACCACTTTTAGTGAAAATGTTGCGGAATTTGTTCCCAGTATAACATGATAAATACATTATCAAATCATTTCCAAAGAATTGTATTTTTATTCATTTTAAAACATTTGGGATGTCATCGTCAATACAGAAACATAAGCATAAACAGAACTTACATTCATTTACACTAGTGATCTACATCTCTTTAATCTCTCAGTGTAATGTAACTGCGTATCGACACCTGTGATACAAATAAGCTTGAGTGGGTCAGGTTGGGAAACCTGGTGAGTACATAGGGTTTTCAACCCACAATAATATAATCATTATGTTTAATCATCAAACAATCAATCAACCCAATTACCCATCCCCGTTATCTTATTTACTCTTAAGGATCTACCCTAAGAATCAGCTATTCCTCGTTCATTCATTCCTAAGGATTATCCTAAGGAATAGGCACGAAATCCATCGTTGCTAATGACACATCTGCCAAGCATAGCTGCTAATATTATCACTTAGGCGCAGCTGCCAAAATTGTGACATTCTTTATGGGGCACATCTGCCGGTATAGTCCTTTAGGTGCATCTGTCGGGGTTATGAGGTTCTCTATTAGGCGCTTCTGCCGGTAGAGTCCTTTAGGCGCATCTGCCAGGGTTTCATTAACAGTATCGTTTTCGAGAGTCCACTCGCGATACAGGTCAATGGGTTTTTAGAGTACACCGGTGAACACATCGTTCACAACACCTATAGGTTGCGAGCCTGCTAGTGTTCCACTGGACTGTCTAGAATAGTATGTGGTTGTCATCCATACTCTGCTAGATGACGTGGCCAGCATTTGGAAAAAGGCTTCTCACATCGTCCACCTCTCACCCTTACCTCATGGTCTATATTACCTCTCAACTTATCGTCCAACTCATATTTCATCTACCCATGTTTTACCCAACATATTATGTAGATATAAATACATATACAATTTCAATCATATAAAACTTGTATAAAATCGTTCATCCAGCATAGATAGCAAGTATACAGATAATATGCACACATAGCACGTAGTTTATATAAAATAATTCATATCTATGTGTAAGATGAAAGTAACTATGCACTCACTTGAAAAGGTGGTGACTCGGTACTCGGACAGCGCTTCGTTAATCTTAAAACAATTTCCCTCAGACAAAACCTAGTATCATTACCACTAGAGTTTAGTCTAATGTTTGACGAGACTAATTAATAATATTGCTATTATTACTATTATATAAGCGTTAAACAATACTCTTCACCCACTATGTACAGACAGGGGCCAGACATGAAACACCGGAGGGCAGGATCATTTTGGCATATAGCACTTCTGAATCCAGCAACCCAAGCGGCCCTCCAAACCAGATTTCCCGTACTGCGAGTGGTAAAAAATATATTATAACGACACTTATATAACTCATAATAATAGCCCAAA